CCGCCGGCCTGTGGCCACCGGGGCTTGGGGAAGGGAAGGCGGGGAGGCACCCCGGGGCGACAAGCAACAGGCTCCCTGCCGAGATGAGGGCCGGCTGGGCAGGACCTGCCTGGGCAACGGCAGCCCCCATGGGCACCGTTCTCCCTGCGGGGCCGGGGGCTCAGGAACACACACACAGCCCCCCACCCCTCCCGCTCGGAAGACCTCCCTAGGACGCAGCCACCCCCCCCCATCAGACACCCAGGCCGCCGACAAGGCGATTACTGAAGGCGGAGTTAAAAAATAATAAGGCAGGGCAGCTAAAAGGCTGCTCCGACAAAGCACCGGGGTGTGGGGAAGAGGGGAGGGGGTGTCCCTCGCTCGGTCGCACGACCCCGACAGCGGGACCCGCGGGTGCCCAGGTGGAGCCGGGGGGGCTGTGTGTGTGTTTCTCTCCCCGTTAGGCTGGAGCCAAGCTCCGCCCGAGGTCTCAAACATGGACACCGCGTGGAAACCCCTCCACCCCCCGCCCCGGGCAGGCCAGGGCGGAGCTGGGGGCTCTATCCGCTCTACCCTCCGCCGCAAGGGCGTGCCGGAGCCCCCCGGCCTCGGCGCTGGGGGAGGGGGACAGGTAACTCCCACCACCAACCACCGCCGCCACCAGCTCCCCGGGAAGGGGAGGTGGCAGCGCCATCTGCACGGTAACGCCGGCCAAGCTTTAGCGGGCAGGGCCCGGGCGGCACCTGGGCGGCCGCCGGGTTACATCACCGCCCCCCTGCTTCCCCCCCGGCAGAGGCGGCGGGGGGCCACCGGGCGGCCCGACAAGGGGGCGAGGAGGATGAGGGCGGCGGCCGGGTGAGGGGAGGCGTGCCGTGCCGTGCCGCCGGGAGGAAGGTGCACCGCACGGGGCCCGGGGGGGAAGGGGAGCCGCCAGGGGGGAAGGGCCGCTCCCAGCCGGCGATGGGAGGGGGTGGCGGCGGCGACGGCCGCCGGGGGCTACCCCGTCTGTGCCGGTAAGGAGGCTCAGTGCGCGTTACCTGCCCGGGTGGCTCCCCAGCTCCCGGTCGCTCAGCGCCGCCGTGTAAATCTTCCGGTATCTGTCGGCCAGGGCCTTCCCGGAGAGCAGCAGCTGGTAGCGGCTCCGGCAACCCAGCGACGGCGGCGCCAGGGGGCCGGGCAAGCCCCCCAGCCCGCCGGCTGAGCCCTCTTCGGGCCCCATGGGCCCCGCCGGACCAGAGCCGCTAGAAAAGGAGAAGAAGCCGCCCTCGGCCCCGGTGCAGGCGGCGACGGCGGCGGCTCCTGCAGAGGAGGCGGCGGCTGCGGCGCTCATCCCCCTCCCCGCCCGCCCCCTGGTGGCTGCGCTGCCTCCCGGCGCGACGCGGACACAGGCGGCTCCCGCTGCCTTCACCGCCGGGGCCCAGCCATGGAGAGGCCGCACAAGCCGCCGCCGCCGCCTTCCCGGAGGCCGCTCATCCACCTGGGCCGGGGCTGGATGCGGGAACACCCCTCTCCTCCCCTCAAACGGCGGTTCGGGGCCCTCCCCGGCTGCCTGCCCGCCCGCCCCTCGCCCTCCGCCGCGGGGCGCAGCGCAGCGCCGGCCGCCGCGCTCTGGGCAGGACCGTGTAGCCTCCGGGACGGGGGCGGGGTAAGGGGGTGGCCTGGCCGCTTAGCGCTCCCCTCTTCCCCGCTACAGGGGCGGGGGCCGGCGGCTGCCGCTTCCCCTCCGGAGTTTCTCCTCAGCGGCGGCGGCGCCACCGCCCTCTCTCCGCGCAGCCGCCCCGGCCCCGCCTCCCTCCCGCCGCCAGCCCGGCCGCCGGGCGCATGCGCCGACCCGCCTCCTCCCCCCCCACCGGGAAATGC